ATGTATAAAATAAGTTGCAAGGATAAACTGTACAAGGCAGAGAAGATAGTATTTTATACATAAATTTAAATGGAGTACCATGTATAAACATTTCAAATCACTATGTTGTACACTTGAAACTAATATCACATTGTGAGTCAACTATATCTCAATTTAAAAAAAAAATGGAGAAGATCTGTGAGCTCCAGAAGTAATAACTGCAGTCAGAAGACAAAACAGATGAAAACACCTAATATATCTGAGTGTATTTAGGGGATATCATCAAATCTGTTAGAGACTTAGGGATAAACTGGTGACTGATGCAGAGATAACTTAAGCAAAATTAAATAAATAATAAAAATTAAAATAATTTAAGCAAAATTAAATTGTGATAATGAGGGGATCTCAAGAAGGACTTACTCTCCAAGAAAGTAAATGTGACTAAGGTACTTACACTGCTCTGTTATGTTTATAGTCTTAATAATATAAACATATAATACAGATCTAACAAAAAATGTGATATAAGTAACTGGAAGAAGAGGGTAGTTATAGACAGAATAGTTTATGAGTGAATGTGATTGCATGCTATGTGCATATCATTTTGTGTGTGTGAGAGTGGGCGTGTTAAGTACTTAAGAGAAGTAGTTTCTCATCCTTCGCACTAGGTATCCAATGGAAAACATAAGACTTTAAAAAATTCAAGAAAAAATAGTATAAAAACAGTATTTGCAAATACAGAAGCAAATATAAAAGAACACCTTAAAAAGTTGAAAAGAGGTTTCCTGAGGGGAGCAAGAATTAGGCGTGAATAAGGATGGAAAAGAAAAACTTATTTTTCAATCAACGTTTAGAAGTACCATTTAACATTTTAAAATGTATTTTTATATTGTATTGTGTAAATAAAGAGGAGAAAAATGAAGAATGCTCAACTAGACAATGAGACATTTTCATCAAAAGACAAAAGATTTACATGGCAAAGACAATTCATGGTAGCAGGAAAGAATGAGTGCCTAATTGAAGTAGAATGCCCGCAACGTGTATTTGTTCTCTTTAAACTAAAGAAAGGGGCGGGTGAGGAGTTTTCCAGTCATGCCAATACACTTAACAATCTTGATTGAGCAGAGCAGAAACCAGCATGCAACCAAAGATTAACTGTGTGATCATCTTTGCTCTGAAGTTTTATACATTTCTCCCACCACACTATGCCAAGCACACTTTTAGAGATGCAATTAAAATAAGAATTATCCCCAACCTACATGATGTTCTTAGGATTTGTTACATGCGTTCAAAAATATTCTATCATGTTTTACTTTTCATCAATGTACTCTAGATTTGGAGTGTATTTCCCTTCTCTAACTTTTAATTTGGGAGGCAATGACCACATTAATGACCTAATACCTACCAGTTGCCACAAGGTAAAAGGACCTGTCACAATTGTTTTAGTTTTAACTTTCCTCTAGCACAACAGTGATATTTTTATTTTAAAGTCATCTCCCTAGTAAAATCATTTCTCATGGCAAACATGCTCATTTCTCTGTACTTTTTTTGGACAGAATAGTCTATCCAAGTAGAATTAATAATGCAATATTACTTCTAGCTGTGGGAGTTGATAGGTCAGGGTTGGAGCAGCAGTAGAAAAATACATTGCCTAACTCACATAGAGCTATAAACCAGAAACAACAACCAAGTATCCCATCATACAAACATTCCTCTGTTCCAAATTATTTTAAAAATGTATTTCAAGACCCAGAAGGTGAATGCTCAGGTAGTCGAATCAAGAGAAAATGAGCTATGCAAGAAATTAAGATCATACAACAAAAAATATCTATATTCTTCCCACTTGTGCTAGGTCCTCTGAAATACAGAGAAGAGATTAAGATATGGTTCTTGCCCTCAAGCAGAATGCAGTCCAGCTGGAGACACACAAGTAGCACATGTGAAATGCAAAGAAAGGATCTGGAAATTTTTACAATGAATTATAGGTAACTGAAGTCAAAGGCGAGTGACGTGTGTGATACAGGGCTCAGAGAAAGGGAATAAGCAGAAAGAGGATTCATAGAAAAGGTTGCTTTGTGTGAGGCTTTGAGGAGGGGTAGGAATTTGGGCCAGTGACAGGAAGAGGTTTGAATCCTTTGTAGTTTAGAAACTGGAATTTGTAGTTTAGAAATTGGAAGCAACACATTGGGTTGGGGCAGGGGGTGGGGAGGGGAGAGCTTGGGGTAAACAGGAACAAGGTCAGAACTGAGTGTATCGTGGTTTACTTTTTGTCAATTTACTCTGAATTTGGAGTGTATTTCCCTTCCTTTTCTTTAACTTTTAATTTGGGAGACGATGATCACATTAATGATCTAATAGCCTCCAGCTGCCGCAGGTGAAAGCATTTGTCAATGTTTTAGTTTTAACTTTCCTTTAGTACAACAGTGATGTTTTTATTTTAAAGTCATCTCCCTAGTAAAATCAGTTCTCACTGCAAATACTCTCATTTCTCTGTATCCACAAGGAATTGGTTCCAGGGCCTCCCAGGTATACAAAAATCCACAAACATTCAAATTTCATAGTTGGCCCTCTGTATCTACGGATTCCACACCTGTGAATTCAGCCAGCCATGGGTGAAATTTTCCATTCATGGTTGGTGGAATTCATGGATTCAAAGCCCACAGAGGACCAACTACATATTTACTGAAAAAAAAAAAAAAATCCGAGTCTGAGTGGACCCCCACAGTTCAAATCTTTGTTGTTCAAGGATCAAAACTGTATAGGCTTGAGCACATCATTGAATGGTTCATCTAGGAGAAGCTGGGGATCAGAAAGTGATCAGCCATTAATTTTAAACAAAACAGATGGAAACTGGGCTTCCCAGGTGGTGTAGTGATAAAGAACCTGCCTGCCAATGCAGGAGACATAAGAGAGACAGGTTCAATCCCTGAGTCAGGAAGATCCCCTGGAGGAGGAAATGGCAACCCACTCCAGTATTCTTGCCTGGAGAATCCCATGGACAGAGGAGCCTGGCGAGCTATAGTCCATAGGTTTGCAAAGATTCAGGCATGACTGAAGTGACAGTACACATGAAGATGGAAGCTAACCACAGCTTGGGAATGTCAATTCTCCAAAAATCAAGTTATTTCCATTAGCAACATGTGCACTATTTCCTCTAGTGGTCTTGGGGGATTATTCTGCAGAAGCTACATCTTTGAGACCTTTCCAGGCATCAGTGAACCATCATGACATCTCCCAGATTCCAATCACTGCTCACCTTTGCAGAAAACTGGAAGAAACCTCACTCCTGATAGAAGTAAATCATGGACAATGCTAATCTCAGATTAATCTTAAAACCTGAGTAAAGAGAGGAAAGATGGATCTTTCTCTGAAACATTTCAATCCACTTATTCTTTGATTCTGTGTGTATTTTCCCTTTAGTATTTATTTCTTTGGCTGAGCAGCATCTTAGTTGCAGCCTGAGATCTTCACTGCAGCGTGTGGGATCTAGTTCTCTGATCAGGGATGGAACCTGGGCCCCCTGCACTGGGAGCTCCGAGTCTTAACCACTGGACCACCAGCAAAGTCCTGTGCTGTTGTTTGAAACATCTATACACTTAGTTACGAGTGGGTGGTAGCTAAATAGGGGGAAAACAAAGATACATTTCTACTAATCTGTTGGTGAAGTGAAAGTTGCTCAGTAGTATCCAACTCTTTGTGAGCCCATGGACCATACAGTCCATAGAATTCTCCAGGTCAGAAACCTGGAGTGGGTAGCCTTTCCCTTCTCCAGGGGGATCTTCCCAACCCAGGGATAGAACCCAGGTCTCTCACATTGCGGGCAGATTCTTTATCAGCTGAGCACAAGGGAAGACCTAGGATTAGCACGTGCAAACCATTATATATAGAATGAATAAACAACAAGGTCCTATTGTAGAGCACAGGGAACTAACTATATTCAATATTCTATGATAAACCATACTGAAACAAAATATGAGAGAGAACATATGTATAACCATCAATTTTCTGTACAGAAGAAACCTCCACAACATTGTAAATCAACCGTACTTCAGCAAATCCTTTTTTAACATTTCAGGCAAAAACTCATACCTAAAAGGGGAAGTTGTATACACGGAGTTTCTTTTAATGTGAACCTGGAAATTCTTATGATATGATGAAGATGACCATTTTAATGACGAAATTCAGTAGTGCTAAAAGAAACCTGGGGTAGTAGGGGAACACAGCGGTTTTCCAAAGAATTTAAAACTGCCGCACAGTAGGCAAAATCCAGCAGCACAAGCAATCTAAGCAAGAGTGACCAACAGAAGAACCCAATATTAAGCGAACGATGATCATTCACAAAATACTGCAGAAAATACACCATACAGAAAGCGCTGCAACACCCAATAAAAAGGGATATAAAGTTGTGACAGCAATTCCAGTGTGTGGGTGTTTCCCCACTCCACCAAGTGATTGTCTGATAGCCAGCTGAGAGTCCTCCTATTTGCCTCAAGTCTGAACCCACAGCTTAAGGGCTCAGTCCTATAAGACCCCCACCCCGACCCCCACCCACAAACCCCATTCCCTGCAACCCCGCAGACACTTCAGATGCCAACCACAAACCCCAACTGTCACTTGGGGTTCTGACCAACCGGCTATAGTTGAGTGGTTCCCAGGACCCCCTCCTTGAGGTTCATTAAGTTTCTAGAGCAACTCACAGAACTTAGAGAAATATTCTGCTTACCTAATCTTTGTTATAAAGAGGAACAGTCGAATGGAAGCGATACACACGGCGAGCTCTGGGATAAGTGTTCAGGACTCCCGTGCTCTCCGAGTTGACCCTTCTCCCCCAGTCTCTTAGTTAGCCTCAAGATGGAGGCGCCTGTTTTGAGGTTTTTATGGATGCTTTATTACGTGGTCCTGATTCATGACATCATTGGCCAACAGTGATTGAACTCCAATTTTCTGTTGATGGGCAGGCTGTGTTCCCAGCTGGAAGGAATGATGCTGAAGCCGAAGCTCCAATATTTAGGTCACCTGATGCAAAGAGCCAACTCATTGGAAAAGTCCCTGATGCTAGGAAAGATTGAGGGCAGAAGGAGAACAGGGCATCAGAGGATGAAATGGCTGACTGGCATCACTGATGAAATGGACATGAACTTGGGCAAATTTGGGGAGTTGGTGAGGGACAGGGAAGCCTGGCATGCTACAGTCCAAAGGGTTGCAAATAGTCAGACACGACTGGGCAACTGAGCAATGACAACAAGGACTGAGTATTAATAATGTATTTTTGAAAAGATCTGAAAACACATGCGTTACTGAGCGCAGCTGCAAGCATTGATACTAGGATGATATAGACAAAAATAAATAAATACACTTTATGGAAAGTCTACTGTTTATCAGATACTATGAAAAACATTTAGGGACATCATTAGAGGATCTGAGACAACCATATAATATACACAGAAGTTAATTTCTGATTACTAGAAGAAATGTAGTATATATATAACACATGATAATTTAAAAAAGGAACTCTACAGACCTCATAAAACAGAATCATTTACACAGTATATTGTGTTTGGATTTCTCTGTCTTCAGGAAAATGTCATTCTTCTGTTCCAGATGGTTGATGATGCCTGAAATCTGATTTTCTGATAAGAGAGGCATTACACCATTGTTTTTATGATTAATACTGATACTTAATCAGTTGGATTATAACGAGGTGAATTTCTTGTATATCTTCAGTGTTAAGTTTTATTTTATATTTGGACAGTTTCGGTCTATCAGGCTGTCTGTCTCCATCTGCCTATTTTATTTCAACCTGTGTTATCAGAGATTTTAACAACTTGAAAACTATCCAAGTAGTTCTGGAAAAATCAGAAGCAGGTTACAAATCCCTATTCCAGGGCTACAGTGCACGCTGATACCATTAATAGTGTCTTCTCTGGGTGGTGGGATCCTAGTGATCTTTATACACTACCTGATACTCTTCAATATTTTCCAAAATGTTTATAATAAATACACATTATCACTCACTCTTGAGCCTGTTGTCAAAATTCTATTTTACATCTGGTAACCATCAAGCATACCTTCAAGTTAGCACCCACTGGTTACAATGAGTCTCTGAAAGGTGGCTTTCACAAGGACCACACAGCAGTTGCTCCGCAGCATGTGAGATCTTAGTTGCCTGACCAAGGATTGAACCTGCAGCAAATTCTTAACCACTGGACCACCAGGGAGATCCCCTACCACAGAATTCTTTGCTTTTTGAAGCACCAAGCAAAGGAAAGAGCATTCCCCAGGTTTGAGACAGTGACATTTATGGCACCTCATTCCCTGAAGGGCACAATAAAATGGATTTTGACTTTAAAGGCCACAATTATTAGTCTCATCTCTCTTTGAAGATTTATCTTCATGGTTGAATGTTGATGACTCATGCACACAGGCACACACACACACACAAATACAGTCATACCTGCACACACAAACACACCTCCACACACACAGAGCCACACAGAAGAGAGTTTAAATAAACAAAGAGTCTTGATTTTGGTTGTTAAGTAAGAATTCATTCTGTATCCTGTCTTCCTCCTCCTATGGCACTGTTGTTTCCAGTAGTGATGGAATAGAATGAAAAAGCTGAACGTCTAACATGAAAATGGTTTCGCTTTCCTGGCATCCACATAGATGGTGGTACCTTTAGACACGTAAACCAGAGTTGGAACTGTAGGTGAAAAGAAACAACTTGTATTTCCTTTGGTCGTGTTTTGTTGTTGTTGTTGTTGTTAAATTTGACAAATTTTAGAATACAACATTTCTATGGTTGATATTGATATGATCGTTAGGTTAAGGTTTAATATTGCACAACTGACTTGACCACATTTCCCCTTGTTCAGCTTGGATCTTAGCATATCATTTAGTGACCGTCCAGATAAAACATTTAATTTCAGGGCTAGCTGCTTCTAGCCGCACTCGCTCTGTTTGCTTTGCCTCTAGGCGTTCTCCTCATCTAGTAATGGTTCCAGCTGGACACAGCTCAATCTAGGATATGCGAGAATGTGGACTTAAGAAAACATTAACCCCCACTCCTAAGAATGGGCTCCCTGGTGGCCTGCAATACCGGAGACCTGTGTTCAATCCCTGGGTCGGGAAGATCCCCGGAAGAAGGAAATGGCAACCCACTCCAGTTTCTTGCCTGGAGAATTCTGTGGACAGAGGAGCCTGGGGCCTGGCAGGCCACTGTCCATGTGGTCACAGAGTCAGACACAACTGAGCAACTAACATACTCACACACCCCGAAGAATAACCCAACACATGATTTGCTGTAGTCAAAGAACAAATGGGTAAGAATGTAAACCCTGGGACTTCCCTGGCAGTCCAGTGGCTAAGACTCCATGCTCCCAATACAGAGGGCCTAGGTTCGATCCCTACTTAGGGAACTAGATTCCACATGCCACAGTTAAGACCCAGCACATCCAAGTTAAAAAAAAAAGAATATAAACCCTACAACTGGGATTTAGTATAGTATAGATAGTTATGAGAAATTCAATAGAACCTGATAGAAATCAGATTGCAGGGAGGAACTACAGGGCTCAGAGGATAAAACATCTACATAAAGAAGGAATGAGCCTGGCCCAATAATAGGGAACACAACATGGAGGGAAGAGTATTTCTGAGTATACTACACTGGAAAGCATCTCATTACAGCCCCTTGAAGGTGACTCAGCTCCCTTGGAAGGAGAGGTCTATATGTTGAACTTCGGGTTGCATCCTTTGTGGATGCTGGCAAGCACCTGTGCTGGAAGATCCCCTCCTGCCATAACCGTCTCCCTACATCCTGAGTGAAAAATGATGGTGCTAGAAAAGAAAGAAGTTGCTTATATAAGCCAGAGGGAGGTGAACATTAGATGTATAGCAAAAAGAGGTAAAAATTCCAATGAGTAAACAGATCACCGCAAAAAGCCAGAGGTCTGTGAAAAGGATGTGTAAAGAGGAATGGGAGGGTGGAAAGCCAGAAGACTGACGTCACCCATTTTGAGCTGGTGTAGGTGGTATCAGGCTTCCCTGGCAACTCAGTGGCCAAGAATTGACCTGATGATGCAGGAGACGCAGGTTCGATCCCTGGGTGAGGCAGATCCCCTGGAGAAGGAAATGACAACCCACTTCAGTATCCTTGCCTGGGAAATCCAATGGACAGGGGAGCCTGGCAGGCTACAGTTCATGGTGTTGCAAGGGTGGGACACGACTTACTAACTCAACAACAACAAGGCGCTATCACCTGGGCCAAGCACTAAAGCACAGTCGACTGATGAGAAGAGCCAAGGGATAGTCCAGGGCCCAAATAAATGTGAAACAAACTCCATATCCTATTTACAACTTTGTCTTTGAACACCCGGAGAAAGACAACAAACAGCTACTCAGCAGAAGGAGATTATCAATATTCTGAATATAGGATCTGATGACTACAAGAATCTGATTTAGGACTAATAAGCTGGTGAGCTTAGGGGGCATTAAAAAGTTTTATGTATTACTTATACCTACACACAAATAAACTTGTTACATAAATATCATTTACAATAAAAGCTATGCAACTTTATATATGAGCCTCATCTAAAACAAAGGTGAAGGTTTGCTCTACAACTAAAAGAAAAACCATAGGAATTTGAAAAATGGTACTTAATATGTGCACACAAATGTCAAATATATTACCTTTCTTTGACAAATGAATTATGTTCAAGAGGAAACCAAATGCATGTACAATAGAAGATGGCAGTGATACTTGTTCTCTGATAGCTTTCATATTGTATGATTTTTAAAAAAGATTTACTTATTTCTATTTATTTCTTTTGACTGCACTGGGTCTTCGCTGTGGCCTGCAGGATCTAGTTCCCTGACCAGACCCAAGCCGCCTGCATTGGAAGCGCAGAGTCTTAGCCACTGGACCGCCAGGGAAGTCCCATATCATGATTTTTAGAGTTAATACAGAAATGGAGAATCTTGTCAAGGCCCCCCTCCTTCTGACTCCCCTGAGGCCAGACTGGCTTTAGGCCTCTTTGACAAAGAGTTCCTGCCACAAGCTGCTAGGGAAATGGTGTTATTTCCATTTCAATGAAGTGAATACAAAGAAGCAACAAACACTGTGAAAGCCTCCAGTTCATTAGCTTCCTATCACATTTGGGTCACATCCTTGAACTCTGGGGTCCCCTCCCAGGCACAGTCTTGAGATCTGAGGCCTGCTAATTGTTCCCCCAGGGCTGTGTTCAGGCGACGACGCCACCCAGAACTGGAAAGAGCCCGGCTTCCTTGTCTTCTGCATCTCCTCTTTGTGCTAATAATTGGGTGCATCTTGAGGAAAGCTGGAAACCCCGGTGACAGCTACCCCCTTCCCTTTTGGTGAGATAACCAGCTCATTAAATCTAAATGTGAAAGGCATTTTATTCTGCGGAGTCACATCCAAAGATTTACTCGCCCATTTTTCACCTGAGCTCCCCCTCCTGCTTGTGCCTTTGCATTCACTAATGGCCTTTCTCTAAGTTATATAATCCTGTCACGGGTGTAAAAATATCACTCGGAGGCTGCTCTTGGGGCTAAATCACTCAGCCGTTAGCGGTGACAGGGCGAGTGTCTGAGCCACACCTGACGCAGGAGGACAGCTGTCCCCTCTCTCTCCGATGTCACTGGGCTGAGGAACACTGAGGTTTTAATAAGATCATAAAGCTGAGTGCCACGGACTGGCAGGACAGGTAGATTTCATTAGCATTCAGAATGCCTGGGATAATAAACTAGAGCAATTGAGCAGAAATGGGCAATTTGATCATTCAACATTTTTCAACACCAGCCCAAGCAGCTGGACCCGGAGAGGTTCTGCTGACTTCTCTGCAGGTGAGCCCACTGGTGATGCACAGGTGAACACACAGCCATCATTTTCTCCCACCCACACTCCGGGCGTGAGAGCGTTGATGGTGACTTACGGGCCTGGTGAGTGTAAATTGATGATCAGGAGGAGGAAGTCTTCATATATCTTTGCAGTGGAGGTAGCCGCCTTTGGCTGGCTGACTTTCTTTTATGGCAAAGGG